ACAGGCTTTTTTAAGAACCATTTTGTGACAAATGGGTTTTACAGTATGCAAGGGTATATACCTATGCCCTTTTCCTGAGAAAGCGAGGAAGACAAATTGAGGAACAGGCTTGAAGACTCCCAGAAAGAGAGAGCATCAGTCTTATTAGGGTCAAAGGTCATCCCACAGGAGACGTGCTTCATACCATCTCCTCCTCCACTGTCCTTTGTCCTAGTCACCAGGAATGAGAGGATATGAGGAGAAATAGGAAGGAATGTAAGCAGATGATGTAAGGGACGGATGGTGTGATGGATGGCAGCGCTCCTCGCTCTCAGCGTGTATGTGCTTGTGCGCACTTGAGCGTGTTCGTATGCTTCTACTGTTAGCCAGTGGAGAGGGATGCATTGATGGACGAGGAGCATCCTTTGCCGTTTCAGCAGTGGAAGTGCTTAAAGCATCCGGGCTCCAGGGACAGGCCATGTCACAGTCTCCCATCCCAGTGACTTATGGACCTGCCATGACAAACACCTAAGGGCTGCTGTTGTGGGTTTGGGCATGGGGGGTTGGGATGTGATAGTCCACGTGATGACAGAAGCTGGACCCCCAGGAAGGAACGCACCTCTTTGTTCTCAAATAGAAACCACTAAGTGCTGCTGAGGTTTCCCATGAAAGCTGTAAAGCTTGTGGAATAATTTGTGAAATAATTCAGATGTATGAAAGCGTGTGCAGGAGAGGAAATTAATGGAGAGTAATGTGGAGTCGCCTCGCAAATATTTAAAATTGTTTTCTTATTATTTCCCTCAAGTTCTCCTTGGTCTCTGTGTGTGTGTGTGTGTTTTTTTTCTCTTCTTCCTCTTCTTCCTCTCCATCTCCCCTTTTCATACTCTCTCTCTCTCTCTGTTAAGGATTTAGCCTGCGGGTATAAATGGAAGAGATTGTGATAAATGAGTTTAAGGCACACAGTGCAAAAATACGCTGGTTGTGTTTTATACAGCACTGCCTAGGTTTCCTGATTTTGGGTTTAAAGATACTCCATAAGGTTCTCCTGCTTCATTATTTGTAAAGAGAGACATTACCTGTACATGGATTGTATTTTTGACTGTTACAGAATTCTACCACTATCAAATCAGTCTTGGAGGGGAAATAATTGTGTCTGAACAAAGAGGGTAAAAAAACCAAACATTTTCAGGTATATTATGCCCTATGAGTGCCACTGCTTCGATGCAGTATATTAAATACTGTCAATGTTTTTTACTTGTGGTGTTTATTGGTTACAGATAAATTCACATTGTGGGAATAAAGAGAATATAGATCTTCAGGCAGGTTAAAAAAAGTATTTGCCATTTCAGTGCTCTAGGCATAGCCCTGTTCTGGGGATTGCACCTGTAATGGCACTTTTAGACTTAATTTACGGCCCAAACTAATAACCTGAAATGGAGAGTGTGATGAGAAAATCACTTACATGCCCACACACACACACACACACACACACACACACACACACACACACACACACGCACACGCACGCACGCACACACAGCACATGCATGCTCATACTTCTACATCTAGACTCTGACAGTGCTGTGCCCTCAATCAGTTCTAATGCAATGAAATCAGTCATCCTGTTCATCTCTCCCACTCTCTGTCACCGTCTCTCTCTCTCTCACACACACACACCACACACACACACACACACACACACACACACACCTTCCTGTCATTCCCACAGCCTTACACACACGTTGCGCACAGCACCTGTCATCTCCTTCAGATTGTACTCCACCCAAAAATAGGGACACATCATAGCGGACATTTTGACTTGTCATAGCAAGAAATGCACAAGTGTAACTAATAACATTAATAATGGCTCCATTCCATTTTGGTGTGCCAATAGTCCATGTCAGTAAGTCAGCATGTACACTATGAGGGCACTGGCACAGCTAAATGGAATGCAGCCAGTGTTAATGTTAGTCACACCTTTGTTTGACATGTCTGAATGTCTGCTGTGAGAAAGTGATCTCTTCCTATACCTTGCTCCACCGTTCTATTCTTGCATTTTGTCCCAGCTGGCCCTCCTCCCCCGCAGTCTCATAAATGTTGCTCAGACTCAGACTTTGGTGACACAACAGCTAGCCTTACATGGTCACAGCCACAGGGGTGAAGTGGTCACCTGCATGCCACCAGGGCCCCCTGTGGCCATGCAGTAGCGCTGAAGCCTCAGTCCCAGCGGCTAATATGCTAATCAGACAGAGTCCTTGTGTATATGCTAAACTGGTAGTGATGGAGGGGAAGCTGTAATAAGATGGCCTTGGCTGGTCAAAATAAAGGCTATGGCACAGTGGAGCCTGAAAGTGACAAGTCAGTCTGTCATTAGAGTATAGGATTAAGCCAGAGGTGGAGTACCCAGATACTAACCAGGTACTTCCAGGTAAATCAACACTGAGTCATTTAGGGAAGAAACTTTAATGTTTGAGCAGGTGTTCTAGCTTCAAAAGATGATGGAAAACACCTACTGTGAAATCACTGATTGGGATTTAACTAAAAGTGCAACATGCAGCTGCAGTCTGCTGCCTTAAGTGAGTCATTGTGGATTTTACCCTGTAAAAGCGTCTTTAGAAAAGTAGGGAAAAGTTGTCAGTGACAGCAAGGATTTGGTTGATATGTTTTGCTGTTGACCAACAATGCTGATACTGGATTTGAGCTACTTTGTGCATGTGTATTTTTAGGTTGGAAATCCATGTAAAACAAGCACTAGAATTGGATTGTGTTAGCCTATTAGGATATTTACGACACATTTTTAATCAGAAAGTGATTTACATGAAGAAATAAATAATAAATGCAGATTCTTTACGGTGAGCATTAACAAAAAACTCCATTACCCCAACAATCCTTACACAAATAATAATATAATAATAATAATAATAATTGTATTTACAGTTTTATTTTTAAATAGAATACATACTGGACGATAAAAACTTGTTATGCTATTTGATCAACTCAGTTTGTATCCCTTTCCCACCACTAGATTGCCTTTGTTTGGAATAATCTATGGATATAGACCACCAAATATGAATAAACAAATTCACACAACACGATCAGTGAGAGTCACTAAAGGCTTGCACTTTCTCAGCTTCACAGCAACGGTAACCTGTGTGAGGGGCCCCACACACACACACACACACACACACACACACACACACACACACACACACACACACACACACACACAGACACATTGTAATCAAACACTTAGAGGTCATGTTTGTTGTCTGATGAGTGGACTGGACACAAACTGTTTGCAGTCTATTTATTTACCAGCCAGTTAATTCCACCGCTCAAGCTCTGTGGAATGCACTGTTGGGTAAAATGATTGATCCGTCCTTGTTAGACCTTGCTGTAAGGAAGTTTTAGTTTACTGGGCTAGAAAGGGGAAATGATGAAAACAAACACAGCACAATGCTTTTTATAACTTTAAACTAGCTCTCTATTAAAGCATTTTTGACACGCAGGAAACAAAATATTGTAATATTTCCAGAAAAAGACAGTTCATGTATCACTTATTTATGTTAAAACAAAAAGATATACACTTCTCTGTGCAGCCAAAAACGTGTGATGGCCTGAAATGTTATAATCTCTTGTAATACATTAGGAAGCTAGACAAATCCGACAGAAAAGCAAGTGTGCATTGAATGCGGCGCTGAGTTGCCAGTAAGCTGTGTTGTTGTATAGGAGCCATTCTGTCCTCTCTGGAGTTCATGCAAGCCCCTGTGGAGAGACTGAGTTTCATCCAAAGTCCAGCACATGCACTGGCCAGCTCCCTTACTGTGTGGGAGTGTGTGACTGCGACTGTAAGCTGTATGACAGAGTGCACGTGTGTATGTGTGTGTGTGTGCGTGTGTGCGTGTAATGCATGTTTGGACATGGCAGTCTTATTCATACTCTGAGGATTTCTTGTTTGTATAGATGCACAATATGGATTTTGTTTCAGCCAATACAATAACCAATTATCGTAAAAATAAGTTAACAATCTGCAGAGTATCGCACCTGAGGGTAAGAAAGGCTGGATGATGGATGAATGGATGATGCAACATTCTATACCTCTGACCAAACCAAGTGTAACTACACACACATAAAAAAACAAACAAAACACAAAGAACAGTTGACTCTTGAAAATGTTCTTTTAAGTACATCAGTAGAATTCACAGACATACTTTGGCTTTCATAGAACATAAAGCCTATCAAACGTTTGGCATAAGAAGTCAAAATAAATTATCATCAACCGATTTATTAATTTATTGGCTGTAATTTAATCATTGGAGTAATACATAATAATATAAATGTCACAGTCACTGGAGTTGCAGCAACATCAGAACATCTACTGCCTGCACGCCTATATAATATTGTAGAGGTACGATAGGCTTATCCGTTCTGCTATATGTGACCAAGGGGAACAGAAGCTACAATCACGTGTCTTTTACTGAGAGACTGAAGCAAGAGGTTCAGGGGAAAGAGATTGGCTGAACTTCCTTTGAACCTGATTTCCATAATAACACACAATTAGACAAGGGTCTGTCAATACTGGGCTCGCTGATTTGCATGCAAGTACATGATTGGTCAAGCCGTGACAAGCCGTCAGCGTGAGATCCATAACTGACTGAGTGAGGGTAAAAAAGGAAAATGTAAATCTTCACTATCTACTGTTACATGTGGTATTTTTAGTGTCTGACTGTGCAGGCTTCCATAACCTCTGCCTTGTTGTGGCACTTGAGCACTTAAGGTACTACCCTGAACTGTCTGTGCATGGCCTGGAAAAGACTTTATTAGTGCATTTTTGAAGTGAGTCATTACTAGGGTTAGATATGTTGTCATGAGCAGACGCCTGTGTGTTTCATTATCTGTCACCAGACTCTTCTTCTCTTTGTCTCATTTTCTGGCTCTTGTCAGTACTAACGTGACGTAGTGCCAAAGACTTTACCACAAACTGCCTTATTAACTGTCCGTTCTCCCCCTTCTCTCTCCAGCTCTGCCCAGCTACACTTGTGGTAATCCTGGACAGCTACTCAATGGCCACCAGCAGGGGTCCACGTTCAACATCGGGGACAAAATCCGCTACAGCTGCAGCCCGGGCTATGTGCTGGAGGGTCACACCACCCTGTCCTGCCTTGCCACTTCAGCGGGTACTGCTGCCTGGGATTTTCCTCTTCCCTACTGCAGAGGTATGTAGGAGGGATACTGGAAAGCTGTCTATCATAACCTGTCCTTAGGCTAAAAATAAAGTCTTTTTGTCCACAAAATTAATTAATTGCATGACATTCAAGTGGCTTTGTAAGGAGATGTAAGACTCCAGGGCTGACAGAAAGAGATATGCCAGATATAATAATATAATAAAGTTTGATGAAAATAGATAAATAATACAAATAAAACAGTCAGTAAAATCATAGGGAGGTTATTTTAACTGTAAAACTGAATTAAAGAAGTTTGAGTAATAACCCACAACAGAAAGGCTCGTAAGGAACATGCACCTCTGTAGTCCTATCATTAAAAATGTTACTCCTACAGCTGGAACGTGAAAGTCAACATGACACTGTATGTCTCTGTAAACATAAAAAAATCATAGTAATGTAGTTAACAACATTGACCTTGTTTTTGAAACGATTACACATGCCTCCACATGACCTGACAAGTTTTTCTGTGGTTACGCTGATATCTTATTTACCATGACAGGACCTCATGTGTTAGCTCCCAGTCAGGTGCTTGTGCCAGTTGTCCTTCCCTCACAGTTAGCAAGCCCCCCTGCGGCAGCGACACCTGCCAGTGTGTGTCGTCTGACCCAACATGACATAGTTCTTGAAAATAGTTCACTGTAGGCAAATGTGATGCTATTGTACATTATTTTGCAGGATTTTACTTTGTACAAAAGTGAATTCTTACACAACTGAAAAGAACGCTCATGTCATACACATGAGAGTTTGCATGTCTGTGTATGTCCATTTTCTGTGTCCATGTGGCCAATGGTTTGTGTCAGTATGCCTGCTGAGCAGAGCGCTGAGACACCGTGCCATCTGCAACCAGGCCGGGAGTCAGGAAGCCCACATAGGAGCACACATGGCTGGGCACCGCGCGCCAGCACAGTCCCCACCCACCCAATCACATGCAGACACGTGTACATGCTGGTATTTCACATCTAAATCCAAAATTATTATGCGTACATTTGATAATCTGTTCTTCACAATTTCTTACATTTTTATGTAAGAAACTGTCAGGGACTCCGTCATCTCTCGTCTTTGGTCCATAATGCACCAACATTTAGCTGTTCAGACCCAAACTCAGCTCTTTCATTCTCCTCCTCCATGCTCACCCAGGCTCCTTCTCGAAAGAGAAAAAAATTGCTTGAGCAGTAAAGGGTGTGATTATGCCACCTTTTCAGCTGAAATTACACGCCAACAAGTTTTAGAAACTGGCAATTTCCCCTGTGATTAATTAAGGTCTATGTGCCACTTAAAAGTCAACATGTACACCTGAGTGCTCCTTCATAATGTATTGTTAATGTCAGTCCAATTATAGAGCCTGCCCATATGTGTAAGAGCAAAACTCCCGCTGTACTTTGGGAGTGGGGGAGAACATTTTGGCACGGTCACCATTCTGGAATCGGGAAAGGGCAAACGTGCCAGCACTGTCGGACCATAGACGATAGCCAGCCATTGATGGCACAGATAACGTTTCCTATTTCCTGTCTTATGCTCATCAATTTGTTCTCTTAGCTATAATCTCATGGGTATACTTGTAAGTGATTTAACATCACTCATTTATTAATTGTGACACACTCTCCTAACCCCAATCTGCTCACAGTCTGTACCATTTCTCTTTTGTCTGCTCTTTCAGAATTATACCTACCCTTTTTGCTGCTGCATATCTCTCCTCTGTATATGCACATGCATTTTTGATGGACATTAAACATATTTTTTTTATAGCTTGCATACGTTGCCCATGCTTCCCCATATCTTGGTTACCATGACATCCTTGGAGACAGCCTGAAAATATGTACTGTTCACCCATGGGTTGAATCTTACAACTGACTTTGGAAAGAATTGAACACGTTTCTGCACACCAAACTTATTGAGGTGTTCGTATTGACAGTTCTTTGGTTTTAATAGGTCCATGGTGTGGCCAGTTTTAGTTTTCCATTGTCGTAGAGCGCTTGCATCTGCCAGCCACAAAATTGAGAAAGCGACAGAAAGAGTCAAGGTGAAGGGTAGAGTTTGGAGTCAGAGACTTCCCTTCAAGTGTGAAGAAACCGTCTTGTGTGGAATATCAATGCACTTCCTCATCCTTTCTTCTGTCTGCCTTCTACTTCCTGTCACTCCCACTGCAACAATCACCTGTCACCCCTCTCGCCATTTCTCTCTCTCCTCATTGTCCACCCTCCCTCTGCTTTTCTCTCGCCCATCCTCGCTTGTCACCTGTCATCCTCTTCATCCCCTTCTTCTCGCCCTTCTGTCGTGGTTTCCCTCCTATTCAAGTTCACACCTCACAAGTTTCCGCTCGTCCGTACACTCCCTTGCCCTCCCTCAGGGGGGTTGCTGTGGTGACAGGTAGGATGGATGATAGACAGGGCCCAGCGCCTCTGAGCTCCTCCTCCCCTCTTTGAAACACCACACACAGCTAGCCGGTCGCCCACTAATGAATCCCTCACCGCCCTGACACAGAGGCACACACATAAACACACACACGTCATTTCACAAACAATAATATTGTGGAAGTGTCATTCAAAACCTCTTTTGATGTGTCCCCCCTGTTCACCAGTACATACTGTAGTGATTTATACACACACACACACACACACACACACACACACACACACACACACACACACACACACACACATACCATATTTTAAAGTCTGTTCCTCACACACACAGGAACTGCAGTTCAGATATCAAACCATACTGTATTGTTTAAAGCTGTAATGAACATATCAGAAACTGGGCAGGGGAATTATCCTGGCAACATATTAAATGCATGCTTTATTATTTAATGGTCTCCTTAAAGCAGTCTTGAGGAGGGAAGAGATGCTTTGATTAACACAAATCTGAATTAATCAGAATTTAATCACCCCCCGCCCCCCCATGTTGCATTAGGTTGCATCACACGCACTACCCAGCTCCCTACTGACTGTAAAAGCACTGTAGGGCATTTTGAAATCCTATGACTGGTGTCTCTCTGGCCTATGGCGAAAATTGCAGACAAAGGAACAATATGCTGTAACTCATTGCATATTTTCATGCTCTTGAATTTGAAAATCTGCACTTTGGCTTGTGGCAAAAAAGAGAGTTTGAGGGTGTGTGTGTGTGTGTGTGTGTGTGTGTGTGTGTGTGTGTGTGTGTGTGTATAAAGTACCAACTAAATATTAAAAAAAAATTCTCTCTCTCTCTCTCTCTCTATATATATATATATATATATATATATATATATCTCAGTTTAGGAGCTTTATAATGATTGAGCTTCATCAGTATCTGTCAAATTAAGTCAATCTTTTTTGACATTTTATGCATTTACATAGCCTTTATTAGTCCATATATACAGGTAATGTATTTTTGGAAAATTGTAGAATGTTTGAAAATGTCGTTTATGATGACATTTATTTGCATTTTTACAACATCAGGTCTTCTTCAATTGAGGAAGGTCTAGCTCTAGTATTACAGAATGATTACTTTAAGTGAGCGTTGTATTATGGGTCTTTTGTAGCCTAATTGTTGCTAGACAAGCTATTTTATATCTGTAGGTATTAGGGTTGGGCAACAAGTTAAAATCTTCAACATACATACTAATTAAGGTTCACTGAATGGAATGAAATAATTCTTATTATTATCATTCTTAACACCTGTGTTTATCCTACTATTCCATGTCAAAATGGCTGCTGTTGAAAAAGGTCCATAATGACATTTTAGAAGATGGTCAGTCTCAAAAATGTTAACTGCCAGTGAAAAAGTTCTGTAGTCCTAAAGCTGATGGGTCCCAAGAGCTTGATAGGACAGCGTGGGAGTATGTGAGTGTTTCTTATCTTTAGAAGGAGTGTTCATATAATCAGTGCCCGTTTTGTATTTTTGCCACTGTGGTACTGAATAAGCTTTCAGTCGCCAGTCAGAATTTTAATATGACTGCTTATGGGTCAAACTTGACCTTTAGCTGCAGTTAAGCTGCAGTCTGTGTTTATTAACCTTTTACTAGCTTGTCTGTCCTACTGTTTCCATTTGTCTGTCTTAAATTATCTCTGCACCTCAAGTCTGTGATTATCTTTGTTTATATTTCCCTCTTTTACTAAGCGTTTCACAACTTTCTCTCTCCTGTGCTCCCTGCAGCGGATGATGGGTGTGGCGGGACACTGCGGGGCCAGAGTGGGGTGATCACCACTCCCAATTACCCAGCTGAGTACAACAACAATGCTGACTGCACCTGGACTGTGCTAGCCGAGCCAGGAGACACCATTGCCCTGGTTTTCTCTGACTTTCAGCTTGAGGACGACTACGACCTTCTGGAGGTCAGCGGCACTGAGGGCTCTTCTCAGTGGTGAGTACGGTAGTCAGCCTGCAGCATTTTGTCTTGAGAGCGAGCTGAGCTAGGGACAGGAAGGGAAGCTTCCACTGGTGCACCACCTGCCCACAGGCACTGTTGCAGAGGAAGGGGTGATCTGGTTGGAAGTGGATGGGTGTTGGCTAGGTCTGTAGTTTTAAAGTGTAATTTGAACACTCTGTCTTGGTCACACACTCTCACTCATTCTCTCAATTACTCAGTCTCACACAAACACACATGCTCAGCTCTAATGATGAAGAGGTAGGATATCCTGGTGTCAGTGTGGGTCTCTCACCATCTGTGGCAGCTCCTCCTCTCACTGACAACTCTCTCAGCTCAGGAAGTAATTAGTGAGCTCGATTACCACCACCAGCCGTATAGTGTTGTTTCACACACAAACACACACACACACACACACACACACACACACACACACACAGTTGAGCCCATATGCGCACAAATGGACATGTGCACATAAGTATTCACACTTCCATATATTTGTGCTGGCTCTAAGAACTTGTACTACAAACAGATGTACTCTTTCACACTCTCTTGGTCACTTTGTTCCACCCTCACTCAGAAGGCTAATATTAGCATGAAAAATACACGTGAGGTGAATACAGGTGGATGTTACACACCAAGAGAATCACTTTGTTTGTCTTAAATTAAATATAAAAATGCAGATCTAGTTTCAGGATCATGTAGGAGACGGTCAGTTCTGATAAACAAAAGAAGACAGAGGAGACTTTGAAGTTATAGCCACAGGCAGTTGGCAGGATGGGACAAGGGGTAGCACTGGATGAGCTATTAAACACTTGAAATGCACAGACACACACAGAAAGACAGAGGGATAGAGGAACCAGGTTCAAAAAGATTATATGAGAAGTCATCTTAGACTGAGATGGCCCCCGGAAACTTGTGTCAGTTTCACTCATTCACTCAGTAGTTAAGCAAAAACACTTCCCAAGAAGTATTTGATTGACTCTGAGCGGTTTTAAAACTGAGAATTGTGCCTTGTAGCCTGATATTAGAGTCTCTTTGAATCTCTGCTTGGCCAACTGAGAGTTGATCGCTTCCCAGACTCCCACAGACGGCAGCCTGACTATGCTTCTTTTTGCACATTTTACAATGTCATCAGATTCTTGTCCCAGACTTTGATTTTCTCTCTGTTGTCGCATGGGGCGCCAAAATCTCTACTGAGCCTGTCATCTTTGTGGTGATTGTTGCCATGGGTGCCTATGGCGGTGCACCTGCGGCATGGCTGCACTGTCTTAAAGAGCAAGGGAAAACAGTAGGAGGAAAGTGACTAGAAAAGAGGGAGAAGGGCTATTGGCAAGCAATGCAGAGTGCAAGTCACAGTTGATCATGCACATTGCAAGGAAAAGGCAGCACAGGGGACAGAGGACATGGTGCAGACATGCTGGCTTGCCTCTATTGTTTAATTTTTTCTTGTCATGCTGGCTTGGGTTTTACCCACATAGTGTTGACTTCAAAAGTGTTGAATGTTTTCTCCAAAACATAAAAGCTCACCAGCCTATTTTCAACACAATAAGTTTATCTCTGAGCTGTTTAGGTAGTTGGGTCTCTGTAGTTGTAGAGTTAGCAGGGAGGAGTAAGGACAGACGAAGGGGGTGACAGGGTCAAACAGTAAGAATCAGCAAACATCAGAGGAGAGAAGTCGAGAGGAGGGCAGGACCTTTGGAGGAGAGGCTCGACGTGAGAGGTGAGAAACTGGATAGATGGGTGGATGGATTACGACTTCCCAGCTGGTGGCCAATTACAGAGGTCAGGTGGAGCGCTATGATGGTGCTGACCTAAAGCTCACATCCTCTCAGTGAATCGCTCAGGAAGCCCTCTACTCAGTAGTAGATTGTGCTCTCTCTCTCTCTCTCTCACCATATAATTGGACTGGTCAGTGATTTAATCACATTGGTTTGTACAGGAAAAGTTATGGTTAAGTGCTGCTTCTCTATTTCAGAAGTGCACTGAATTAGGGTTTACAATCCTTGACAGTCCCAAGCATTGTATCATTAAGATGATTGTAGAAAGAAATATGTATTACTCTCTGTTTGCCCCTGATCTCCATTTAATATCTGCTGATACTGAGTCCTGATCCAATATTCCTCAATGATTTCCTCAACAATACAGATAAATAGCTCTGCATTGCATTAAGAAAGAAACTGCCTGCAACCAAGCTGGTTCTTCATGTTTTTTATACTTACTACATTAATATAGCCCATTTTATATATATTTTATACTAAATAACTAATAAACAAAGTAGGCTGTAAAATAGCCTTCCAAACTCTCTCTGTATAATGTTTTGATCTTGCTGATCTCAGTCTTGTGGCTGTATGGAGGGAGTTTCTCCCTTTAAAGTGTCCTGCAGAGTTTGTTGCTTCAGTGCAGCCTTTACCTGTTACCTAAACGTACTGTAATCTGCTGAATGTTTATTTTCCTCTGTACATCTGTACATATTTTTGTGCGGATCACATTAATAAATTACTCCTATTTGCTTTTTTTTTGCAGTGCTTTGTTGCATTGTGGTGTGGTGAGTGTGCTGCTTTCCAAGACGAGTGTTTGTGTGCTTTTATGATTTAATAGTGTGTTTAGTGTTCCCACCAGCTCACTGGCTACTTAATTCAACCTGTGGGGAGTTCTAGGCACAGTATTGATTGATACCTGATGGACAGGTTGAGTGATCCAATAGGAGAAGAGAGGCCAGGGATCAGGGTCAAAACCATGCTTCCCTGATCGATCCACAACAGCTCAAATGAAAGCAGGTCAAGTTTGCATGCTCCCTGTTCTCTTGTTGTGTATGTGTGTGTCTGTGTGTCTGAGTGTGTGTTTTGAGAGGAAGAGAATGAACAAGAATAAACACCATCAATCACCATCAAGAACATCACCCCTTTGCATATGTGAATCTAATCTTGCTCACTTACATTCTTGTTTACCGTACCATCCAGCGCTTTGATTGGCGGCCCGGCACAGTTAGCATTCTGAAGAGGCAGCAGGAGAAGACAGCCTTGAAGACTGACTTCAGGAGCTGAGATGTGCATGTGGATTGAATGTGGCAGTGTGAAGGGCTGGTAAAAACGGCAACTGAATTCAGCCTCCACTCGGCGTTACCCTGACAGGACTTCTTCGGTGTTGCTTGTTCCAGGGGAACACATTACTCTGCCATTACACTGTTTGCATCCACATTGATTTTCTTCCCCATCACCATCCACTTTGAGGCAATGTAAATAACGCCTGACGCTCGCCAATTGCCAGATGCTCATTCGCCCGCTTGCTACTAAGTGGAACTCACAGCTATTTGACTTGTAATTTTCTTTGGCGCTCAATTGTTTTGAAAAGCACCATGATACATTTTCATCTACCAGTTAGTGCTCCCTTGAGATGCTGAAAGCAACTCTTGCAGCACCTTGGGTACTGTAAATAGTATAAAGTGCCTGAATCTGGAGCTGAAGGCACTCTGAATATTGGCATTACTCCCTTGGTTCTACAAACAAAAATGGCATTCTGTTGAAAAAAATGCCACCTCACAGTTCAGTGATGGCACCATTCTAAAGAACGTGTTCCTCAAACAAAACTTATGTCTACGTTTTCCATTCTGGTTACTTCTGCAAACTCTATTTCCCATGAGGGCTATCTGTTCTTTCTTTTTTTTTTACGCATCCATTGCTGAAGACACAAAGCTCCCTGGGTAAATGCAACTTATTTCTTCCTGTTAGGAGATCTGACAGCCCAATGAGTCTTGATCCCTCTAGGTAGCCTACCATCCTTTCTCCTCTCTCTTTTAACCCTATACCCTATGGACTTGAGACACTGACATTTAGTGAGCATATGGATTATCCCTGCGGAGCTGATATGTGTCATCATGTCCCAACCTGTGTCTGTGTGTGTGTGAGAGAGTGTGAGTGAGTGAGAGAGACAGAAAGAGATAAAGAATTGTTGGAGGCGAGTACAGAACACTGGATATATATTGATTGGCTGTTAGGTTGACTCACCTGAGAGTGAGTGAATGGTCTTTCGGAACAGCTTTTTAAGTCCAGGGGCTGTTTTCCCTCGTTTCCGATGGGAGTTACAGCAATATGAGTATGTTTCATTTTTTTGTGGAGATGAATGCCACAACTTTTGTTCTTTTATTTTCAAAGAGATTGGTAAAGTTTTTTTTTTTTTCATGTTGTAGATCATGAGATTTAAGTTTGGGTTTACTGCAGCTCAGATTCAGTTATAATTTACTTCTGATTTACTGATCCATTGCCAGATGTGTGTGCATTGGTGAGTATAGGTATGTATTCTGTATGAATATGTGCATATTAAGACTTGTATGTAAATCGGTCTGTGTGCATACTAACTGCTATTCATCATGGGGGTAAAGCACCCATACTGTTTCCCCAGTGGGACTCTACAACATCATATCAAGCAATTGGCTGCCAGACGTACTCTCCTTTTTAAGTATTTTCTGTAATAAAACAGTCACAGTGAGGGTGTGTATGAAAGTGAGTCATTGTGCAACATATTCTCTGACCATTGTTTGCCTGGCAGCACAAGAATAGGCGGTTTCCCACCTGTGATCCCCATAGTCCCCTGCTTGAAAGCATAATTTATTGCACGTTTGGGCACTAAGGCAGTTATTTGCAGCAAGTGAATACAGAGTATTGGCAGCGTATGCAGGGGCACTTTGCATAGATGTGTTTTTAAATGGATACTGTGTGAAAGTGGAGTGGGCGTATATTCTTGGTGTGAATGCTGAATACATTTTTTTGTCTCATGCTGTGGCCTGTTTCTCACAACACAGACTGCCGGCGTAAAGGATGCGTTTCGTTTTGGAGCTTTACCGGTAATTCACCGCAACATCACTAGTCTGGTCACGTCTAGGATGGTCTGACTCTGGCATTTCTCTCCCTCTCTCGTCTCCCTTTATCTTTCTAAGTCAGTCTCTCTCTCTCTCTCTCTCTCTCTCTCTCTCTCTCTCTCTCTCTCTCTCTCTCTTC